TGGGATGCAAATGCAGTGGCTGTGAGCTGCACCCCCAGTCCCGGGGTGGGATACAGAGGATATGGGCTGAGCTGTGCCCCTTTAATCCAAGTGCTGCTTGCTGGCCCTCGGAGCAGACCGGCTCCCTGCGGAAAAGGCCAGCCACAAATCCCGAGCCAGCCAGGGTCTGCTATGGTTTCAGCTGGCCTCAGCGTCGGCCTGCCAATCAGCTGCTTTCACGAACACATTTAAAAAACAACAACGTTGTTTTTCTCTTCCTGGGTGTTGTGTGAAAGACCCACCCAAACAGAGGAGGGTTACTAGGTCATGGGAGAAACTGAGGACTCACAAACTGCTGGCGAAGGCACAGAGTCAACAAACCGAGTCAACGGGGAAAAAATGTTTTTAGTTGCTTGTCAGCGGAGCCTGTACTTGTAAGACTGCGAGGCACAAGGCAAAAGCATGTTTTTAAAGTTGACAGCGCCCCTTTAAATCAAATAGTTATTACTAATAGAGCCTGGGATGACTAAAAGTGAGAGCATTTTATGACTGCACTTTACTTTGCAGCCTGTATGCTGTTTGTCCTTGATGGGTGAATTGGCAAAAAGCAGAGAGCTACAATAGCCTCCATCACTTTCTCTCTTGTTTCTACTTGATTTCCTTTCTGGTTCCCATGCCCTAGCACAATGCTGCAATGTCTGGGCGGCCGACACAGCATGAAGAAAGTTTGCTTCCAAACCAATCAAACTGTTCTTATTGGAACTTATTTTTAAAGTCATGAAACATTTCTGTGAAGATCCTGTTTTGGGGAAAAAAAAAACCTTCTGAGATTGTTATTACTGTTGTTACACAAATCTTAACTTTTGTGCCCCAACTACTTACCACGTCTCTCTGAAGGGCAATATTGAAGTACTAAGTAGTTCATTGGTTACTGTCTTCTCCAGCACTGCTAGCCTTCCCTCTGATCTGCCTTGCTTTTTATGCATTTATGGATAAATGCATTTTATGGACTGACAGCCTCTTGAGACTGAAGTTTTCCATTAATTCACGGAACCGTTACAGTGCAAGCAGCAGCTGCACTAGAGTGCCTTACCCCAACCTGCAGGAATCCATTCCGCAAGGCAGAGACGGGGGAAATTTCCATGCCTCTTTTTGCTGGAACTTTTGTCAGCTGGAACCAGTGGGGATGCTGTTTCCATGTGACAAGGACTCCTGATCACTAGGAACTGGGCTGAGATCCACTGCATACAGGCCACTCAGCAGCAAATCCGCAGAGATCCGGTTTCTATCCTGTCCGCGGCTGTGGATGAGAATCTCCGTGGTTCTTTTTTGTAGATGCAGATGTGGATACCAGTTATGTTACCGCGCACGGATAGACCAGATAGACACAGGTAGGCACTGCTCTATTCTGGTTTCCCTGAGCACAGCAGTTGTAGAAGCAAGATGCAGACGGTGTATAACACAGTCGGCCTTAAAACAGAAAAAGCGAATATAGCTTTATAATTGTTGTTTATTCTCCTTTTGCATTAGGTGTTTGCACATCAGCTAGCAAAATGGGGGGCCCAACCTGGCTGGAGCTTGGTGACAGTGCTGCAATATCCGTCATCAAGGCAAGGCAAGCTATCGTGTCTCCCCAGGGATGGGTTATTTGGGAGTGACACTTGGGGAGCCAGCGATGTGAGTCATTGCACCAGGGAAAGGTGAGAGAAGAGGGAGCACAGCTTTGTGTGGGGCACCAGATCTAGCGTGCTGTGTCCACCCATGCACAGTGAATGCAAATGGGGTGTGAATCTTTACCCTCTGGCTTCGCGGCATCCCACACCTGCTTTGCACTGGGGCCGACAGTTGCACAAGGTGCAGAGTCATGGAGAATAGAGGCCAGTAGGTGCAGGTGGGATGTAGAACTGAGTGGCGGGGGAGGGTGCACAGTGCTGCCAGCCAGTAGCCTCCCCAGGAATTGCAAATGGTGGGGGTGTTCGAATTTACAAGCGGGGGTGTCAGGGCCGATGAAGGGTGACACCATGAGGGTGAAGGTGGGCTGTATGGCACCATAGTTCACAAAACTCGGGGGGTATACACCCGCATGGGGGGGGGGTTTAGGGAAACCCCTGGTGCCAGCCATGAGTACAGGTGGCAAATCAGAAGCTGGTGCTGGGGCGTAGGCTGTGCCAGTCCAGACCCTGATGTCGGCGTCGGGTTGTGTAACGCTTTGGGGAGTTACATTGTGAAAGACACGAAGTGCCGTCAATGGGAGCAGCAATGCATCTGTTTCCAGGGGCCACTGTGAGCAGCCGAGTGCTGGTGAAATTGCTAGCCTTGCTACAGCCCATGGGAATCACACACACACACGCCCCCTCCACCCCCGTGCGAGGTGTCAGGGCAGCTTTCTAGGGAAAGTTTATTCTAGAAAGTGAAACTGGGAGCTGATCCAATGCTCCCAGTTCACCTGAAGTGGAAAACTAGCCCAGCCCCACTGGACTGGGGACGAGAAGGAAGCAGATCTGGCTGCTTCCCTAGCCAGGGAAAGTCTGTGGCCCTTTGGCCATTGCTAACTCACCATCAGGCCACAAGTGGTGAAGAAAACAGCAGCTGAGCTCTTAGTGGGCCCCTCGTGAGTCGAAGGAATCTGGGAACCAGAGGGAGAGTGGATGGTAAAAAGCTCCCCTACAAAGAATCCAACTGGCAGAGGGACAGGAAGAATGTCTCCTCCCACCTGACCCAATTCTAGGCCCTTTGCTTTCTGCTGAAGACTGTGGGACACGAAAGCCCCATCCAAGATTTGATCTTGAACATTGGAAATGAAACATCAGCGCTAATAGCCAAAAACCACTGCAGGGTAGGCAGCATTGGATCTTTGACCAGCTCTTTGCCCTCTTGACGCAGAATGCACCAGAAAAGCTAGAATCACAGCGAGAAGGTGGGAGTAAGAGGCATGTGTCAAGCGGCCAAGACTTCCTCTGATCTGGTTCCTTCCCAGCTTCGTTCCCTACCGCAGCCGGGTATTCGCTCACGGGCGCCTGGGCTGTGTTTCCCTTCCCCACCGACTCAGAGGCCGCCTGTCCTCGGGAGCACCGATATTGTGATAGTTTGTCTCCTTCCAACCGCAGCAGCAGGGTCCTCCTGCAGCTCTGGGCGCCATCCCTCAGAAGGAAGTTTCCAATCGATTGAACGCAGAAACGTAATCTCGTTGAAGGTCGTTTCCCCTGGACGGTGAATAAAGATGGGAGAGGCTGGCACGCTGATGGGGCTGTGCTCGGCGTTAAATGGAAGCCAGGGTGACGCTAAGTCTGACTCCAGCACGGAGAAATGAGCTGCCTCATCGTTAACATCGGGGTTATAACTGGCTTTAAACACATCAGTGTTAATTTCTTCACACAGGATGGAGAAAAGGCCCTATGTCCCTAGCATCCTCTATTGATGGCTCATGTCATCCCAGTCAGCAAATGTATTTCAGTCAGAAGGTTCGCTCTTAGGCTATGTCTACACTGGCGCGATCTTGCGCCAGAAATATGCAAATGAGGGTAAGCGGGGAATATCTGTGAGCCTCATTTGCATATCTAATTAGCCGCCAT